TAAGGAAAAAGAATAGGTTTTTAACGTTATCACTTTGGGTATATCATTAGTGCCAGTGCACAAGCAGATGGCACATTTCATTTTAAAACTTAAGGTGTGGTGATGTTATTTCAGATAAATTTGCGACCAAGACCCCTCTTTCTTTCTTCACCACCACCTTCAGATTTTTTTTCTGACCCCAAGATCATGTATGCACGTTGATCCTGGAGTTATGGCGAAGTTGCAAAATAATTAAACCCACCTCCAATAGTACGATATTTGAGTGAAGAAACTTTCCAATCAATGGTTAGGCACTACTGTCCATTATTGCACAAGTCCTCAAGCGTTATGACAAATATTCGAGTTAAAAAGTTCATTATTTACTTTTTAAAAGTTGTATATTTGTAATAGATTTGAATATACATGTACTATTTACAAGATTAGATGTCATGTCACGACTAACTGAAAACAATTTGTCAAAACAAAAGTTATTTCTTTAACTGACGTGATAGTATCAATGAAAGTAACTGAATCATTATTACACAGCAATGTATATATTCCATCGCTAAGGGAACCATGACTACAATTTTGCTACATCATGTAGCTAATAATCCTATACATTTTGTAACAAAAGTGAAGAGACTATTTTGTTTGCGCTTTTGTTCAATTGACCTGGTCAAATTTGAGCTGTGGCTATCCCGCGATGATATAAAGTTGAAACTTGCGAACCTTATTAGAAACGTTACTGGCTTATATTGTATTACGGTAGTAATAAGAAAAGAAAACAAATCAGTTAATACCTTAAGCTATTTACCAAGTTTGAAAATGTCATGTCAGTGATAATTTTGTTATTATATGCCTGGACGATTTTAAATGTATAGCTCAAACAAATCTATAAAAATGAAAAAACATGAAACGATGTTTAGAGATGGCACGGTCGAGTGGTTTATTTACTTGACTGGAAATGCAAAGATCATGGGTTCGAGCCTCGGCTTGGTACATATGTCACTGAGCAAGGCATTTTATCTTTATTGCTCCTCTCCACTCAGGTGCTAATTGGGTACCCAGTAGGATGCGAAAGTCAGTGTGATTGGAAAAAAGTCAACTCGCTGGAATGCTCCCCAGAGCAGGCGCGGATCCAGGATTTCTTAGGGGAGGGGGCCCAACTTTTTTTTTTTTTTGCTCCCGAAAATTAGAAAATCGCGCCGGCCGAAAAGTCGCTCAGTGTGGGGGGGGGGGGTAGTGAGCACATTTTTTTTTGTTTTTGATCCTCAAATTTTTTTTTTTTTTTTTTTTTTTTTTTTTTTTTGCTCCCGAAAATTTGAAAAACGCGCCGGCCAAAAATTCGCTCAGTGGGGGGGGGGGGGGGGGGGGGGGGGGGGGGGGGGGGGTAGTGAGCACATTTTTTTTTTTTGATCCTCAAAAAAAAATTCAATTTGCACCCCCCCCTTGAGCGCCAGGGGGGGGGGCCCAACCCCAAAAAAAGGTAAAAATCCCGTGATTTTACATGATTTTTTTCTCAAGGGGGGGGGCCCGGGCCCCCCGGGCCCCCCCCCCTGGATCCGCCACTGCCCCAGAGAGTGGGCAATGTGCACTGTAATCTGCGGAATAGTAACTGTCCAGTTCAGTGACCGGAATAATGATAGTCTGTCGGTTGTATCTGGTAAAGCGCTTTAACAGAAACAGCTTTTATTGTTATTCCGTTTTGTTTCAAACAAATTTATAACATTTTTATTGTAAGATAGTTCCTATTTCTTTTGTATATGTTCAATCATGACCAAGATACAAAAATATAGAATCCTGCCTGTATGTGTGTTTTTCGTTTACTATGTAGTTTATGTATGATATTCATACAACAATATGATAAAGGACCATGTTGGAGGGTTAAAATATATTTTAAAATTATGTTAGCGTAGTGGTTCGCGGCCTGCATATCTGCTTATATATAACGTAGATCATCATGTTGCCAATTGAATATTTATTATAAGTACAGAACAATCAGAGATAGATTTGTATTAGCTGATGATAGCACAAACATCTTGATACATTTCATCATATCAGAAAAACAACGAGCACTGGATGTTTGTAACTGGTCTGGCTAAGCTTGAGTTGAGCTGCAAGTTGTAGTCTAGAATTTTTAACAGTTTTTGGGGGTTGGTGGGCGTAGGCCAACTCTATCCTTTGCACGAAAAGCCCCATTTGAATTCATACTTCTTCACTGTTTAATTTATTTATTCATGTATTTTTTTAATATTATATATAAATATTTTCATTGGGGGGGGGGGTGTTGTAACGTTGGACACATATGCATCTGACATCACAAGAGATAAGTATTTGCCAATTGATGAATGCAAAAGTGGATCCAGGAGCGCGTTTTAGATAAGTAAGAATAGACCATATGGGCAGAAAATGTCCTTTAAAGTGTACACAGGTATTCCCTTCAACCCCCCCCCCCCCCCTCCCCCATCCGCGCCCACCAATGATCGATTTATGTGGAGGCTGAATGGACAATTCAACTGACAACTTTCTGGGAAATGAGTGGACTTTATTTTGTCAATTATTTTGCACCACCCGTCTGACAACATCCTGGATCCGCTCGTAGATGCTGTACTTTCGATGGTTCTGCTCAAAATCTGCCATTCTAATTAAGATTTAATAGAATGTCGAGTACTAAATGTTGTGTGGGCGTCGATTCTTGCAGACTATAATATTACTACCACGAAGCAAACACCTGAGAGGTTTACAAGCGTTGATCAAAGAAATCAAGAATACGTGTGTGCGAGTGGGTGTGTTGTATGTGTGTGTATGCGCGCGTGTGGGCGATGACGTGTTTGTGTAGTCCTATATTCCCTGACATTCTGCGTGCAGTGATTTTAATTGTGATTTTTTTTTTCAAGCAAGATTAGTCACTTCCGTTTCAATTTTTACGATTCCATAACCTCATTATACTCGAATCCTGATGTAATACACAATCAAAATTCAATGTCTTTCACAATTTTAATCCATGAACCGTACTCAACAGAAGACGTTCCTCTTGATCAATATATCAAAGTCACGCCATTTATTTTGATGGTTCTCAGAACGACAACGTTCTCTATATTTCCCATTCTCTTTTTCTATTTGTTTTCTTCCTGTCTTTGTCCATCCATTTGTTTGGACCCTTCGAATCCCGTACCATGGTACTCTCTGTGTCGCTGTTCCTCTCTCCTTCTCTCCAACTCTTCCATATTTGAATGGAATAAGCTAGATAATTCGTTGAGAACGGCTTCCTCTGTCAATTCATTTAAGAGATTGTTTAAACAAAGTTGTAATTTGTGAATGGCTCAGCCGAACATACACTACGTGCATGTTCTGTAATATTAACATGACTTATTCACATAATTGCGACTTAATCAATATTTTCCTATTGACATTATTGTTTACTAGGTCAATGATATATGTTTATTTTGCAAATGAGTATTATTTTTTAACTGCTTGTATAAAAGTTATAAACGATGTAAATATGTTAATGTTTATGCAGGGCCCCATGGAAGACCACTACTTGTAGGTGAATGGGCTACCCTGTCAAAAGATTAGAAATAAATTATTAAAAAAAAGAATTGACGACGCAGAGGGAGACTATGACTATTTCATTTCATTTTGAATTTTGATCACGATGTCCTGTTATGGTTTGATTTGTTTACCATGATCAATATACAAGATCTTACATGTACAAGGTACACACACCTACTGAATAAAACTGCAGTACAAATCGCAGTACATTTATAACACATAGTTTCCAGTCACTCTTTATAGATGCAAATACTTGTTGAAGGCGATCTTCAGCTGATGAAGAAATATGAACTGGGGAAGAGAAAATAGAGTGAAAAGAAAAAAGAAAAAGAATTCGGGCAAGAGAGAGAAGGAATGATAAAGAGAGAAAGAGTTGGAGAGCGAGAGAGTGTGTGTGAGAGAGAGAGAAAGATAAAGAGACATGCAAGAGAGAAATAGTTGGGGAGCGAGAGAGTGTGTGTGTGTGTATGTGTGTGTGTGTGTGTGAGAGAGAGAGAGAGAGAGAGAGAGAGATAAAGAGACATGAGGGATGTACATATTGGCATGCTCCGTCTGTCCGTTGGGTGCAGGAAGGATTTTTTTGTTGGTGTGTAGGTCATGATTACCCTACATAAGCATCTTAACTTACTCATCTTCTTTGTCTTTTTATTTATATCGTTCTTTATCTCTTTCCCTCCCTCTTTCTTTTATCTTTCTATCCCTCTCTTCCTCTTTCTCTCTCTCTTTCTCTCTATCCCTCTCTCTCTCTCTCCCTCACTCTCTTTCTCACCCCTCTCTCTTTCTCTCTCCCCCCTCTCTCTCTCTCTCTCACCCCTCTCTCTTTCCTCCTCTCTTTCTCCCTCGCTCTCTTTCTCACCCCTCTTACTCTCTCTCTCTCTCTCTCTCACACACTCTCTCTCTCTTTCCCCCTCTCTATCCCCCCCCCCTCTCTCTCTCTCTCTCTCACCCCTCTCTCTTTCCTCCTCTCTTTCTCCCTTGCTCTCTTTCTCACCCCTCTTACTCTCTCTCTCTCTCTCTCACCCCTCTCTCTCTTTCCCCCTCTCTATCTCCCCCTCTCTCTCTCTCTCTCTCTCTCTCTCTCACCCCCTCTCCCCCTCTCCCCCCCTCTCACCTTTTTTCTTCAATATATATATATTTTTAATTGATTCCAAACAATACAACTCAGTATTAACTTACTCATCTTCTTTGTCTTTTATTTATATGGTTCTTTATCTCTTTCCCTCTCTCTCTTTCTCTCTCTCTCTCCCTCCATCTCTGTCTCACCCCCTCTCTCTCTTTCTCACCCCTCTCTCTCTCTCTCTCTCTCTCCCTCTCTCTCTCACCCCCTCTCTCCCTCTTTCTCTCTCTCTCTCTCTCTCTCACCTCTCTCTCTCTCTCTCTTTCTCTCTCTCTCTCTCATACATACACCACTTCCCACACACCAACAAATGCTGCAAATTCGAGAAGAAAAAATCAGCCAAAGATGATCATTAAATCGCTATCATTCTATTTACAAATATCGTATATCGTGGCATTGAATACAAAAATTTCACTAGTATGCCGTAAGAAATTTAGCTTCATCATTTGATTATATGTACACGGTGATCACAGATCACTTAAGCCTCGTTTCGATTTGTCCCGTAAACCGTAAAATACCGTAAAAGTGTGCAATACATCATACACGCACTTACTTACATTTTAATCACATACGTAGTCATTTTAAATTGTTAATTACACATCTAAATTATATATCATTCACGAAAGATGAACCAAATCTTTAAAAAAAGGGCAACATGTTGGACGTAAACCGGGAAGGTGTATCCATTTCTCGAAGGTTCCTTCTGAAAAATTTACTTCAGAAGTAAGAATTCTAGGAGACAGAATCAGTCTCATTTTTGAAGAAAATTAATAACCGTGCATTTAGTATGTTGTAGGGCCGCTACATAAGCTTGTAGCATGCGATTGCAAAATATCATTTGCACATTTATTAAATGTTAACGGCTCATTGTTGATGTTGGTATCGTTGGTAATGTACAATGGATGTTTGCAAGTAGCAGTAGTAGAAGAAGTAGAAGTAGTAGTAGTAGAAGTAGTAGTTGGTTGTTGCTGTTGCTGTTATAGGATAGTTCAAATATATAGCAGCAGCCTTAAAAACTAGATATTACAATTGTGATAGAAATAAGATTACTGCTAGCACACATTAGCATGTATTGTCATTACCAAGTTCAGCGAAAATAGGTATTGAACTATTAGGTATATAGTAAATCTAATTAAGGATCCGTAACGATTATGATTACCATTATATATTTCGATGTACATAATTTATATCTCACAATAAATTGAATGATTACAAGAAAACGCAAGTTGTTAAGAGGTACTTTGGGGGAGAGAGGTTGTCAGTAGGGACTTTTAGATTCGCACAAAGACAACGTGGATTGCTACGATCGACGTCCTTTTAATGCACTGCCTTAAATGGACGTCACACGTATCAGTCCACGCAAATCTAAAAGTCCCTAGTGTTCGAAGGTGGACAGCCCCTGCTTACAAAAAATTAAAAAAAAGTTACACGGAAATAAACTCTAATGGATGGAGATAATACTGCTAAAGGAGAACAAACTCCAGTACGTAAATCACATTATCATGATTATTAATATGCTAATTTGATTTCACCTTCAATATAAAAATATCAATATACATTTTATAACATAGTCCCATTCACTGAATTTCATGTCAGTGTTTTTTCGACTTCTCAAGGCGTTGCAAGAAGCGGTCCTCTGTTGACCTGTTCTCTTGGAGGTTCTGATCCGCATCCTTTCTTCTTGGCGTATCCCATGTCTCTAAAGGCTTCTTTGATCTCGAAGAGGATGTTGGCATTGTCCAGTTCGTCCTCCTCCTCCTCGATGCACTCCGGTTTGGGTTCCTCTTTGTGAAGAGTAAAGGTCATCCAAGTTGACCTGTTTCGTTTAACCGTAGCGACGCGGCTCTGGGGCTCGTACCCCGGAGCTGTGGCGGTGATGGTGTAGAGACCGGGCATCAAGAGACGCCAGAAATCACCGTCAATAGCTGTAAGGTAATCAAGAAAATGAAATAGAAATGTTGAAGAAACGTGTAGGCTGTTTTATGGTGCTTTCGACTGAAATAATTCGTTGTTATACAGTGAAGGGTTTCGTCATGATGAGCAACATCAAATATATTAGATGAATATCTTTTTAAATGTAGAAATGTGTACATCAAGTATCTTTGATCGGAATGTCCATAATCATGTATATAACTGTCGTTATAAATAGCTGATATTCATCAATAATTATGCCCGGCACTATATACCAAAGAGATCTTTTTGACTATACAAAGGGGAAAAGCAAACTGTGCAGGAATCTCGATAACTGCAAACAAGGAAATTTGTGACTATTATAGTATTTATATTCACAGTTATTGTCAATTCTACAAGATATGTAATTTGTCGCAAAAATGAAAAGAAATGAATAAATAATTGTAGAGCGTCGTCAACTATGGCTTGCATAGAATATTCAGGGTATTATCTCCTTTCCAGCACAAAATGAAGACGACAAACGCCCTCATCGTTTGAATCCCTGGAAAAGGTCGGTACACCTCGGTACACCTCCCCTCTCCTTACTATATGAAAATTGCCTTCCTCCCGACTGGGGACAACAATTCAGTAGCCGCCGCCGCCCCCCCCCCCCCACCCATCCACCCTCCCATTTATCACCTTCCAGATACACCACTGATTAATAAAGGCACTGGTTCTGTCCGATTTCATTTCGTTTAGGTTATAACTTTCCAAATCAACTGACTAAAAACGGAATAAGTAAACGATGAACCCGAGGAAAAATCTTGATAAAAAACAAAGAGGCGATTTAATGTTGACATGTCATTGATCAACCTGTCAACACTTAGGGTTCTGGGTGATTGATATTAGCATTCTATCCGGTCACTGAAAAAAAAAAATCTCCCTTTTTCATGATAGACACCGCAGGCTGATATAGTTAGCAGCCCACAAGCGGTAGACCTAATTAATTCATTAGCGGACGTCTAGCAGGTCTTTGTACGAAGGCCACTTGTTGACAGTCATTAGACAGACATCGCAGATGAGAGATTAATTGAGTCAATTTGACCATCTCACCTTTTTTAACCAACATGAAGGCCTAAAATTATGTGCCCAATAAGACATCCCAGCATTGTTCGAAACATTTTCGGTGATATGCGCACCCCACAAAAAATGTCACGCATGCTCACACGTCTTACCAGAACAACCACCATGCACCCACAAAAGAAATAACAACGACATGAAAGGAAAAGGGTGACATCCCTACTTGGAGTTAGAAGGATGTTAACTCATATACTTTAACAACGAGTTAATGCCCTTATGTCTCCGAACAGAGACCTTTCAGTGATCACGGTGATATGATTTATCTTTTATTGTTTTTTCTTTGAATTATTATGAAACTAATAAATTTCGCTTTCACAGTGGTTCGCCGTCTGCATTTAAGTGAACGGTTAACCTCATATATGAAATGATAGCTCACACCCAACCCCCTCCCTTCAAAAGGGTTTTAAACCAAAAGCTTCTTATAAAAACAAAACAAAACTGTTCATAATTTGATGTTTGGCATAATAGTGCGGTATGGTATGTAATCCCGTAGGATTTTTGGGCCAAAGCTCATTTGTTTTTGCTGTTTTGGCTCCAAAAGGGTCCCAATTGGCCCAAAATGATGGGGTTCAAATTTTCAGACCCCTCCTTCATTTCCATGGGGGTCCCTATTGGGCGCCAAAATGGCTCATATAACGCGCAATAGGGAAATTTGGTGTCTTCGGGAAAATTTGAACCCCATCAATTTCTGATAGCTTGGACCCCAATGAATCCAAAAATGCAAAAAAAAATCTTTGGCACAAAAATCCTACGAGAGCTGTTTCAGTGACATACCGTACCACACTATAACGCATATTTTTGCGGACCAACACATATCATCACTTTAAAAAAATGCCCTGATTTTCAGTTTTGCTTCTATATGTGTCGCAAGACGGGGGGAGGGGGTGACTAGGAAACGGGACGACGACTAAAAAGCATATTGTGTATCTCCTTTTAATTCACTGCCCTACATGATTTTCTTCATCCCTCTGTTAACACTCAATCGCACGGTACAGATACAACGGAAAATTCGATTAGCCGGCACGCTCAATCAAATATGATTCCAACCCCACGAGTGCTGTCCCCGGTTAGGAACCGGTGTCGGTGAGTCATCTTGGATCACATGACTGTGTCGAATCATGGACCTACTACTTCTTAGTAGGTCCATCGTCGCATACATCTGGGACGTCTGGGAAAGGAGACTGAGCATCATAATTATTCTCTTTTCTTTAACCTAAGTATATTAAACGAATAACCTGCTGAGACATATTATTCATGTTGGTTTTCTGATTTAGGATGAATTTCAAAGAAGGATCGAACAGCTGCCGAAGTGGTACTACAGAAAAATTTACTGGTCTTCTAACTATTCTAATTCACATATAAGTGAGTGTAGCCCAATCACTGTTACAGTCGATAAACCCACGTGTCATACATTCCATTTGACAAAGCTCACCGAGGATATTATTTTACTCTAATCTGGCACTTTTTAACCAGAAACATATATTTACTGGTAATGGAAAACTCTCCTTCATCAACTTTTGCTTCCTGAGTTATTGTGGCCACATTTGGTTTCTTTCATATTTTGAAGGAGGGAGGGTGGGGGCTAAGTTTTTTGTTGCCAGTTCTCCAATTCCCCCAACGCTCTCATCCTACGCAGTATCCTACGCTTTATCCTGAGCCTTGACTTTAGAAAAAAACAAAAGACCAAACAACTTTCATTTTCATGTGATCTCCAATTTCCCACCTAATAAAAACACATTGCAGGAAAGCGGTTTGACTGAACTGGCAATTATTCAAGAAACATGTTTCCTCTGGTTTCAATTTCACCCATTATATCCTTTGGGTCGATGGAACTTCCCAAATGACATTACTTCGACCATGTATCTCTCTCAAATCCGATGACAATGATCTGCCACATTTTTGTAAAGGGGGAAATAATGAGTGGGCACAGGCGGAAAATAACCCTATTCAAACAAGCTGTTCGATTTTTATTTTAATTCTAACCGGCATTCCTTTCTTTGAGATTTTCGTATTTTGTGAACACGTGATGCTTTCATCTTTTAGACATCAATAACATTTCCTGCTCGATTGGAAGGACCTCATAAAAGGCAACATATGCTGACGAACTATGAATGAAGAATTATCTTTACAAAAATACGCCCACCTCTCACTTTTTGGTGAAATTCAACTTTGAATGAGACTTATAAATCGCTCCGTCTGGTCTGTTCTATTGCATGGAAAAGAAATATGGACATTAACAAAGACTAAGGAAAAGAAAAGCGCATCATTTGAAAATTGGGTGTACAGTGGAATTATGAAAATGAAAATATTTTTAAACTTACAGACGGATCTTGGTAGGAATGGTTAAAGAAAAAAAAGGCAAGTACGTTGACCACATTAAAAGACATCAGAGTCTCTTACAATTTTTTTTGGTAGGATGGGGTAGAAGATATCAGACGCCGGTATCAGACCAAGAGAGAAATAAAGAACCAACTGAGGGGGGGGGGGGGGGGAGGGGGGCATAAAGACCTGGAGTGGAAGGACACTGCTTATATACGAGAATGGTAGACAACAGAGATGTGTGTAAAGACAGTGTGCAATCAACCTCCGAGATGGGAGAAGATCCTTGAGAGATAACTGTTGGATCCTTCGGTTCTACGACGATAAACCGGCGATAAACCGGCAGGGGAGACCCGGAAAGACGTAAACTCTATGTGAAACGTCATTCTAGCCCCAACTAGACGACTAACATGGAAACTAACACGTCTGGAGGAATATTGCGAAGAGATTCCACAGTTTTTAAAGACTACTACAGTCAAGCGACCACCTGTTTACAAAGACCACACTTGTTGTTTCCCATAAAAATGATTTCTCATTGAAACATGTACTATACGCACTGTATGCACATATTGTCTACAAAGACCACCTGCATATAAAGACCACTTGTTCTTGTCTCCCGTGGGTCTTTATAGACAGGTTTCACTGTATTAGTTTTCTAAGGCAACAGACGACCGTGATGATGATGTATACCTGTTGTGATGTCATGATTTATGGCTGGTCCGGTGACTTTGACAATGGCATCTGGAATCGGCTGTTCCTTGGTGTCGGTTACCCTCCCTTTGATACCTATGTGTACCTGAAATAAAAGAGAATATTTTTTTAGAAATTGTTAATAAGAGCTAATTTCATCATTCATTTCCAAGGGTTCTGTAATTGTGTATGATTAGATTCTTCACAAATTGCCTCATCTAATAATATGATTAAAAAAATTCACTCAATATTGCAATACCGATATTTGACCCTATTATCCGAGCCTTTATAATTTTTGGAGTACCCCTCCCCTTCTCGAAACTTAAAAAAGCTAATTATAGTATAATTCTGTGCTATAATATTAAGATTCAGTATACTGAGATAGTTTACAATCCACTTCATGTGAAACATGGCTCATATTAAAAGTGCAATGCTCTTTGAAAATGTCATGTGAACTTTTTGTCGCTTAAAAAATTCATGTTGATACCCGAGCTCACGAAATCAATTTATTTATTGTCAAATATTTTGCATTCTTTTCAATTGGAAACCATGGCAACGAGCCGTTGATAAAGACCAAACTGCGTCATTTTTCAATTCAAGCGAAAGTAATTGGTTTATATTTCTCTTTTTTTCAATTGATTTATCTGTACGTCTTGATAAGGAAGATATGTTACTCAAAAACTCCTCCCATGCATATGTCAATTCATCTCATGTGTGTATGCCCTTTCTATACACGATCAATTTTCTATAGAATTATATTAGAATGAAATCAAAAGTAGTCGGAATATGTCCAAAAAAATGCAGGTGTAGGCCGCTTTTCAATTTTTTTCTTTCGTCCTGATAAGAAATCGTTTTACTTTCTAGACGATCCTGCATGCATCCTCTTTCCAATTCAAGCTATTCTATGAATTAACGAAAATAAGGATCATTAGGTCTATGACTATGAGTAAGCCTTGCCCTTCGGAATTAAAGAAGGAAAAGAGGCAAAATTTTATGGAATTCAATTTTCCTATTAACTTCCCCATTTAGTATTCCCCATATTAGAATGAAATCAAAAGTAGTCGGAATATGTCCAAAAAAATGCAGGTGTAGGCCGCTTTTCAATTTTTTTCTTTCGTCCTGATAAGAAAACGTTTTACTTTCTAGACGATCCTGCATGCATCCTCTTTCCAATTCAAGCTATTCTATGAATTAACGAAAATAAGGATCATTAGGTCTATGACTATGAGTAAGCCTTGCCCTTCGGAATTAAAGAAGGAAAAGAGGCAAAACTTTATGGAATTCAATTTTCCTATTAACTTCCCCATTTCTTTCCTTTTTATCCATTGACCTAAAAATAGAATAAATGTGAAAATAAAGCAATTTAATTCCTTTATACATGCATGTTACAAAAGAGTAATATGATTTTCTATCAAACTATGTGATTATAACTGTCATTTAACAATGCTTATTAAAAGTATTGTCCTAATGGCTACCAGTCTAGAAAGTGTGTGTGTGTGTGTGGGGGGGGGGGGTGCGTGTCTCTAATGGTGGGCGCGCGCGTGTGTGTGTGTCTGAGTTTTTCCTATATTATTTATTTTGTTCGATTCGTATTATTCGGTAGAAACAAGTCCCTTTAGCATTGTAACTCATCCCATCAAAAAAAATATATAATTTTCCAATATTTTGACATAACTGATCCCCTCCTGGAAAACATCTGTTTACACCCTTAAAAAGCGGATCATAATTATACATCAATTTATTACACAGGAGATACGCTTAATCAAAATGACCTTTACTATTAATTCCAAAAAGCGTAAATAAGGGTATTTTGAGAGGGGCACTTTAATCAGGGTGTAATGAATCAGCTGAAAAATGGCAGATGGCAAGGCCTTCGTCGAGTCTCGACTTCCCTGATCGACGGAAGTCGAGCTCATCATCATCGAGACGGATGACGATGAGGAAGACGAGGAAGTAGAAGCAGACAAAAGGTATGATTGGGCAGAATAGAGAGACAAAGTAAAACTCGAGAGCTTGGAGAGAAAGCCTATTATAAATACATGAATGATCATCCACCATGCATGTCTACGGGGAATATTTGAGATTTATAACAGGTTTTGGAAGAATGTCAAAATTGGACTGGTGACTGACAACAGAACGTTTAACCCATGTTATGAAATAGCATAAACTTTTTGTAATCACTGTTAATTTAGCATTCTGGTAGGATTATTCCTTGCAATGCACTGTGCCTGATTACGGCTGCCGGATATGGTGGCCCTGAAGGGACATCGCGAATAGACTAAATCGTGAAAAATATGCGATAAAATTCACGATATCGTCAATTTTATCGCATATTTTTCACGAAGAAATTCACGAAATTGACGATATCGTGAACTTTATCGTGAACTTTTCACGATGAAATTGACGATATCGTGAATTTTATCGTGAAAAGTTCACGATATAAAGTTCACGATATCGTCAATTTTATCGTGTACTCTATCGTGTACTCTCCTGACGGGCGCTTCGTAAACAAAACCAGCCCTAGCTGGGGGAGACAGAGAGAAGGAAAAAAGGGAAAGGGAAAGAGAAGATAAAAGGAAAGAAAGAATAATAAGAAGAAAAGAGGGAAACGGGGGGGGGCGAAGGGCTCTTGCCTCCTCCTCACTTACCCCCCCCCCCCCCTCCCCGCCAAAAAATAAATCAGAGAGAGAGAGAGAGAAGGGAAAGGGAAAGGGAAAGAGAAGATAAAAGGAAAGAAAGAAGAGGAAGAAGAAGAAAAGAGGAAAACGGGGGAAGGGCGAAGGACTCTTGCCCCCCCCCCTCCCCCCCCCCGCCAAAAAATAAATCAGAGAGAGAGAGAGAAGGGAAAGGGAAAGGGAAAGAGAAGATAAAAGGAAAGAAAGAAGAGGAAGAAGAAGAAAAGAGGGAAACGGGGGCAAAGGGCTTTTGCCTCGTCCCCCCGCCCCCCGCCAAAAAATAAATAAGAGAGAGAGAGAGAAGGAAAGGGAAAGAGAAGAAAGAAAGAGAAAAACGAAAAAGAGGGAGAATAGGAAAGAAAGGAAAAGAAAGAAAAGAAAGGAGGCAAGAGCCCTTCGCCCCTGTTTCCCTCTTTTCTTATTCTTTTTCCTCTTCTTTCTTTCCTTTTATATTTTCTTTCCCTCTCCCTTCTCTTTCCCTTTATGGCGGGAGGGGGGAGGGGGAGGTAAGAGCCTTTCGCCCTTCCCCCGTTTCCCTCTTTCCGTCTTCTTCTTCTTTCTTTCCTTTTATATTTTTATTCACTTTCCCTTTCCCTTCTCTCTCTCTCTCTCTCTCTTATTTATTTTTTGGGCGGGGGGATGCAAGAGCCCTTCGCCCCCCCCGTTTCCCTCTTTTCTTCTTATTATTCTTTCTTTCCTTTTATCTTCTCTTTCCCTTTCCCTTTTTTCCTTCTCTCTGTCTCCCCCAGCTAGGGCTGGTTTTGTTTACGAAGCGCCCGTCAGGAGAGTACACGATAGAGTACACGATAGAGTACACGATAGAGTACACGATAAAATTGACGATATCGTGAACTTTATATCGTGAACTTTTCACGATAAAATTCACGATATCGTCAATTTCATCGTGAAAAGTTCACGATAAAGTTCACGATATCGTCAATTTCGTGAATTTCTTCGTGAAAAATATGCGATAAAATTGACGATATCGTGAATTTTATCGCATATTTTTCACGATTTAGTCTATTCGCGATGTCCCTTCAGGGCCACCATAGCCGGAGCTAAAGCTAGTGTAATACTTTCCCAAAGCTCTTTGGAAGCGCATAGAGACGTTAACGTGATATGCGCTATACAGGAACCGAACATTATTCCGGGACATTAATCCGTGTTTGCATTAATTGTTATAAATAATCTTCATGACATGTCTATTGTTCTGCGTTATTCATTAACTTTTTCTTTCTATCTGTTACACTTACAGGAATTTCCAGTAAAGAAAAAAAAAATACACTGAAGAGTGATAACTGTCAAGTAAAGAAGTAATGCATCTTCATTTAGGAAGGTGTGTTTAATGATGTCACAATGAGGGGGGGGGGGTCATATTTCTAGATAAATGAAATGCAAGATAACAAGTCCCTAGATTGCTTCTAGTGGGGGAGGGGGAAAAGGGTGAAGGAAGGGGTCATACTACCTCATTTCATGACGATGCCCTACCCCCTCCTTTTCATCTTCCTCTTTCTACCTTTCTCCCCCCCCCCCCCCCCCCCACCACCACCACCATTCGATCGGGGACACGTGCCCCTGTCCCCTTCAGCCACGCCCTTGTTTCTTACCCTTTCCATGAATCCGATGAGTGCCTCTTTGTTGTCATCCCAGATCCTTGATAGCCTGTTCGCTGGGGGAAACTTCAGACATCCGATCTCTACCGTGATCTCAAAACAATTGGTTGCCAGGTAGTTGTAATCCTGCATACCTAAGAAGAAGAAAATGAGAGGGAACAAGGTGAGAACATGGGCGTGCCATAAATAAACTAACGATGGGTATATTTCGATGATCAAACGCTGAAGTTGTGAAAAATGAAGAAAACGGGCGGAAATATATTTTGCTCGAAAATTAGAATATTTTCAATAGATTGCTGCATGATTTTTCCCTTTTCATGTGGTGCTTTTATAAAACTGCACATGCTCAAAAAGATGTTGATGCACAACATTTCGATACTAGTATTCTAAGTATTCTATATTTTTCATAAAATCATATACATTTTAGATCGAATGCAAACGTATAGTTCACTACGAAAAAGTTGCAACAATAATATATTTGAATGTGATATAAATTGTCCTACAGTATGTTGTGTGTTTCGATAAGAATTGTGAGGCAACTAAAATAACGTGGTCACATGCAGGTTCGACAGCTCGTGATGCTTTAAGTCAATTTCGTCATTCCTTCCGAAGTGAAAGCGTAATTATGAGAGGGAAAAATATTGGGGGGTGGGGTAACAGAGGGGTGGGGTGACAGCGGGGAGATTATAGAAAGAACTAGAGAGAGAGGAAGAGAGTGGGGGGGAGAGAGAGAGAGAGAGAGAGATGGGGGGAGAGGGAGTAACAAGATAAAGAGAATAGAAAGATAAAGGGAACATTTTGGAAAGAGGGAAGGGGAATAAGACAAAGAAAAGAAAAGTCGGGAATTGAGAGGTCAAGAAAGAACGAGAACAGGAGAGAGAGAGAGAGGATGTGGGAGAGGAAAGAGAACAAAATAATATAGAGATAACCAAGTGACGGATAGAGGGAGAGTAGGGTTAGGAGGAATCGGATAGAGGATTTGACAGAAAGCGGTGAGAAAGAGGAACACAAAAAAGGAAGATGGAGCGATACAAAGAAAGAGAGGAAGATGGTAAGAAAAGGAAGTCGAGGTATGGAGGACAGAGAGAGAGAGAGAGGGAGAGAGAGAGAGAGAGAGAGAGAGAGAGAGAGAGAGCAGGGAGATACTAGGCAAAATTCCTTAGAGAGAGTCAGAAACGGAGACGGAAAATAACGATAGAAAAATATCCAGGAAAGGAAAGGGAAATGGGGTGTATCGTATCGATTGATTTTTATGATTATGGTCACATGATGTTAAAAGGTTACATGTTGAAAGTACCAAACTTTAAATGAGGTCAGAAAGGAATGTAAAGAAAGAGGTTAAAGGAGTCGCGCGTCATTACCTTCTCTCTTATCCGTTCAATTTCCATTTCCTTCAATTCCTCCTCCTCCCCCTCACACTCTTTCCCTATCGCCCAGTCCCCCCTCCCCCTCCCTCCCTCCATCCCCCTCTCTCCCCCCCCCCTCTCTCTCTCTCTCTCTCTCTCTCTCTCTCTCTCTCTCTCTCTCTCTCTCGCGCGCGGGTAACAGTCGGGTTTCAAAATCACTGACTGCATGCGGTGGACTATTTGTCAAGCCTTCAAAAGCTATATCTATGGCATTTTTTTTCTGTAATTGTGAAGACAACACAGAGTTTGTATACCCCAGTAACACCCACACCAGACCGAACAAAAAACTTATATTGTCACAATTTTGTTTGTCATTTAGTCAATGTAGGGTCGGATTTATGCTGATTCTGTTGTCTTTTGGATTACACGACCACTAGAGATATCATAATTATATCAATTACTCCATACATAATCTATGTTCATACTATTTTTTTTGGATTCCAGATTCTGCTGCCTAAAAAATAGAGCAGAAAACGGGTCAGTTTACGAATGTGACTGGGGCACTTCCCTGGCAGCTGCACGGCCATGCATCCGTACAAATGGAGTAGCCTAGAGGCGTAGACGCATAAAGCCTCATTACTAACGGCTAATTTCTTCTACTGACAGATTTATTCCGACCACAAATATATTTTTGTCGTCAACGGATGATGATTATGTTTTTATGGGGATGGTTGATGGTGCAATGGAATGATTTCATTTTTGCTTTATATCCTGTACGATTATTGTATAAGTTTCACCGCCTCTCGTCACGTATATCATGTGCATTACATCTGATTCTCTCTCTCTCTCTCTCTCTAATTCATTCTTTCTTTCTCTCCCTGAATTTCTCTCTTTCTCTCTCTTTCCCTCTCTCCCTCTCTCTCTCTCTTTCTCTTTCTCTCTCTTTCTTTGTCTCCCACTCTCTTTGTCTCTCTTTCTCTCTTTTCTAAATGTCAAAATCTTGAGAATAGGAAGTGCCGTTTACTTTGTATTTGGAAGATATTATCAATGATTTGAATGGAATTTAGTCGTTGTATCGAGTAAAGGTGCAATAGATTGTATAGGCTTTTTATTAGATAATATTGGTTTTATATTAGATAATATAAATATCAATTTTCAATGAATAAATTGATGAACACGTTTAAAAAATTGATCTGTCTGACTCTTGCACCGTAGCCATGGTAATAAAACGTATTTCTCGTTCGTGGTGGCGTAAAGTTCAGTCGAACAAAAATAAACCCCAACAAATTGTCTTCTTTAGGCAGCATTTCTGGCATCAATCAGTCCTCAAGAGTATGAATCATCACAGAATAGATCAACAACCTTTAAAATTCTTATTTGATGTTTACCATTCCAAAGCCGCATCCCCCATCTCTATAAGAAATAGAGCAACAACCTCTCACACAGCGAAGGCACACCCCTTCTCAATAGAAGATAATTATATCGACAACTACCATTCCGAAACCTCACCCCCCCCCCCCCGGTCCTATAAGAGATCAAAAACTTCCAACACACTCACACCATGTACGCGATGCGTCCCGTTTAAAACTTACAAGCCACATCCCTCTACCCCCCCCCCCCCCATCTCAATGTAAAACATATCAATAAACCTTTTAAAATAATGTTAGTGCCATTTAAAACAAAACTCCACCCCTCCTCCCTCTACTTTCCTATGTCAATGCCCGTGTCAATGTATTATAGATCAATAACCTTTCACATGTTTACTTAATAAAAGTTTCGAGCCCCGCCCCTCATCTAAATATTAAACAGACCAACAATCTGTAACATTCTTATATCATTTTAATAACAACAGAACCCAGTGGCGCAGCAAGGGTCCAGCCATTGAGGGGCGCTGGTTTCCGGGGGGCACCCATCTTACTCGGTGAATAAAAAACAGAGCTAGGTCCACTATAAAAGACCATCGAATAGTACATGGATGCAAAAGGATCTATTATCCCCTTTTCTCGTCCCCCTCCCTCTCTCGCTCTCCCTCTCACCTTCTTCTTCTTTCTTCTCTTCTCTTTTTCTTTTTGGGCATATTATCGGGGGCATGTAACCCATGTAAAGCCGCTGCTAGAGCCTTATACACCAAATCATAGATCAACATCCTTTAACCTCATTACATGATGTTAACCAGAGCAGTGCCCCATCCCCGTCTCAATAAAAAAAAAAAATTATAGAAATTTTAATGCCTCGTATCCTAAAAAACATGATTCAATAATTTGTATCAATATACATTTTATCAAAGTTTATCATCCCTGTCCGTTAGAGGAAATGGGTATGTAGCATTTATAATATGAAGCAGAGACCCTCACTGCAATCCAACCCAGCCCCCCCCCCCCACTCTCCCTCCCCCCCCCAAAAAAAAAAAAATGTCCGTGATGATTTCCAGTGACAAAAGTAAAACCATATTCATCATCTCAATATCAATTATGTCTCATCTAAACGAAAACGGCGTTTAAAGACCCCCACAGTATCCTTTCGCATCGTATTTACCTTAATGAGAACAGGACAGGAAAAAAATCGTACAATTCTTGTTGTTATGATAAATTACAGAGCCACCGCGTTTTGGCGTCATCTTACAGGGGTGGACCAATTTTAGACAACATCGGGGGGGGGGGGGGGTATGTGGAGAGATTTGATATTGCTGTCAGTGCCTCTTTGTGACCTTTCCCTTCTTGCTACCCACGTCTCACTTTGTCACGGTCGTCTCTCGCCTCCAAAAGGACCCGGTCACTCACCCCTCCTCGGACGCCCACCCCCTAGACCCAAGAGGACATCACCAAATTAGCTACAAATTGTGACCATGCTTTGTGAGAAAATACCCTTTCGCGGCACCTTGTTTCCTTTCCATCTTGAATGAACCAGTCAAAACATTCCCATTTACCACCGCCCCTATTCAGGTCTATGATTTTACTCACCATGTCTGACACTCTAATAAGTAATATTAATAAGAAAATTAGTAGACGAGGATCCCACAGGGGTGTAGAACTGACCCCCTTCCTCTTCCCCATGCTGATTGTGCTTAATTACAGACTAGATACTTGAACCTAATCGCAAGTCATTCATTTTATGTCAAAATTATCATTAATACCTTTCACAAGTCCGTCTCATATAATTATTCTTTAAGAACAAAATTAGCTTCGAAATTCGATATTCCGATCATGTCTGTTTTATGTGTGTTTCGTGATTTTTTTTTATTTACTTTCAAATTTCTCACGACTGATGTTTGAAACAAAAAAAATTATAAGAAACGAACATATCACGTGAATGTCTCATCTGTGATGATAATACTCAAATACCTGTGCTTTCCAGGTTCTCCAGGCCCATGCCGAACCACGCAAGTCCCTGCATTTTGTTTTCCTTTGTAAAATCATACGATTTTAATGAACTTAATACATAATTTAGTGGCTAAAGAAACATTCTTTCGTTAGATACGGGATGATGAATACATTTGTAAAAGCATGTACATACGAGAAGTAAACATCGTCGGTTGTCATACTGCAATTGACAATATATGGCTCATACGGCCTCCTAGAGAGCAACCGATAATATATGACTTTTAAATTAAAGAAATTCACAGAAAATGTGAAAGATGAAATGTTTATGATGTAAACGTGACATATTAGCGAGGAAGTAATCTTGTGAATCTGTCAAGTATGATGGATATTGGTCCGGATGAGATGGGTCGATGGTAGAGGACCTCAGGCTTTGGGGTGGTTCTCACTTCTATCCTTATAGCTAGTGATATCATGAGAGTACTTTAGTAGAATGCGTTTATCAAAGCCCCACTGCTCATTAAGGGACACTAACTACGTATAGCTACTTGCGCCCTCTATAGAGCAAACAATACCTAATCGGTGCCTGATGGTCCCCCATGGTCCCCTTTTTCTTCTGTTAATTGAGAGCTGATTTGATGAGATAAACACCTGTCAGTGACCTTGCAGGGAGGTCTAATCCCCTGGCCAAACTAGAATAGACGGCTTTAAAGAGAATCTGGTAATAGATGAATGATAGTTTGTGAGATTCTTCAATCTTTGTATGTCAGTTAGGAAGAAAAATCAGGGAAGAAATGTCCCCTGAATAGAGACAGCTGAGAAAATACCAAATCCTCGAAATATGACGAGAAATGACTGAAAATTTGGAACAAACCCTCATACCAAATGTATGTATTTAGTCATAAAATGCCACTTCTGTGTGGAGTGCATGCGATCTTTAGTAAACCAAGTCATTTTTTTTTCTTCATTTGATTATTCAATGCATAGTTCTCAAATGTTTCAATATGTAACCACCCCGTGGAAGAGGACGGGTTTAAATGGTAGAGTCATGGGGATATACAACTGTTCCATGATCAGGGCATATGAACCTACTGATCAGAGTAGCCTAAATGAAGAAAGTGAGCGACTGCTCGGGGCCACTGTTGTACACGCATCAAAATGTAGGACTCAATGTACTGCTATGTATTTTGAAAGGGTACAAATTAAAAGTGTGTCTTGAAATCGATGAATCCCCCCCCCCCCCCCCCACTTCGTCTGAATGCCCGGGAAATGACTCCAACCTGCATGGGTCTACTCCATCGTATATTTAGAATTATCCCACTGACAAATGGTTTTCTTATTCCCACAGGTTCAATACAGAAATGACTAGGTTCCATTAGGCAGTACGTGAAATGAGTAAAATATTTATTGATGCAAAGTACAAAGGCTACATGGGAATGCATCATCGGGCCAGGTTCGCAGTTACCATGGTGAAAGCGTTAGTATCCCTCCCCGGAGAGTGCCCAGACACATTAGAGGGTCTCGGAGAAAGAACATTGATGTTGTCAACGGAACCGAAGAGAGTTTCAGATTGTAATCAGACGGGAAGATGTTGCATGCAGGTAGCAAAATGTTTGATATTCTAACAAGAAACGCTTACTTGTGAAAGAACTGCTCGTGTGAGATTCCAATCTTTGACACATTAATAGACATGATGATTGTGATGTCATGCATTGGGGATTGTGACGTCATGCATTGGGGATCGCATGTCTGGGTCAAAGGGTAAATCTTTTTCAAACTTCTCATTTTGATTTTTGTCCCAAGTGAGACAAATTTTTGAAGTTTTAGTTCCACATTCTGACAAACGCTTCCGGGACTATAGGCAACATTTGCAAGTACACACTTTATCATTGTCTGAATCAAGATTCAATATCGTTATCAATTTCCTTTATAGTGTGGATATAGGTATTATTGTTACAATATGAAACACACATACTTGTCAATCGTTAGCCTTGCAGGAGAGAAATAAGATCTACGTCGCCATCTCAGTCATCAACACTATCAACAGCCCCACCACCACCCCATCATCATCATCATCATCTCCAACATCACCACCCCTACCACCACCATCAGCATCATCATCATCATCATCACCATTACCATCAACACCACCACCGCCGCCGCCGCCGCCACCACCATCATCATCATCACAACTTATAATAACATTACAGCGCTTAGGGTCATAGTATTCAGCGCTATATACATGATATAAATATTACTATTATTGATAATACGAATCTTACCTCCCCTGATCGAGTACCAATCCGCTCCGTTCGTGATGCCCCCTGCGAAGACCTCCGCACCCGTGTAGGGGCACGGTTCGGTCCTGGTGCTCATGAAGGCATGTTTGGTTGCGTAAGTCTGTGCCAAGTGCTTGAAGACGGCATCATCAGGACTGGCGGTGTAGAAGCTTCTCCTGCTCCTGCTGGTATCATACGGGTAGTTGGCTACCATCTCACCCTCGTGGAGGTTGGCTGATAGCACAAAGGGGTAGTCACTTAACCACCGCAGGACATTGGCTGTCTCGGGTTGGAGCTGATGATAAAACATTTAAAAAAAAAATTGTATTATATAATACGATAACAAAGACTTTCCACAAAACAGCTCATGAGAAATTACAATATCCTATAATATAATATCCCACAGATAAGTTCGAATTAGGAAATGCCTAAGGCTATTGACATTTAAAAAAAAAGTCTGAGTCTGAAGGGGATCAAACAATTACTATAGATTTATTTATTTAGCCTGGCTTGATATAATTTTCAATCCTCATTTGAAAAACAGTTCATCTACTGCATCACTTACCATTTTCAATCAATTCGGGCCATTTTGTCCTCTCGAAAAGCCACTAATTACGAGAATTCAAGATAATACTTTATCAAACTGTTTAGAAGTATCCTCTTTATTGATTGAATTCTTACACTGTAGACAATACATGAGTTTTATATTCATGGAAACTATAAACATGATAGCAAACAGGCAGAGATTTATATATTGAAAGACTTCTTCTGGACTCTTATTATGTGCGTATTTTTACTAGAAGTGGCGTACAAATATTTTCAAATATTATGGCACGTTGTTCATTTTCTGAATAATCAAGAAAGTGTATATTACAAACTATAAGGAATATCCCTCTGTTTTGTCTCTTATTTCCAGCTTCCTTAGGGGGTATAACGACCACAAAAACCCACTAACATTTCAAGTTTGTAATAATAGATGACTTTATCACCCAACAGCCCTATCCCTCTCGGCCAAACACTTACAAACCACGCGATCGCGCCTTTTTCTATTCGTCATAACGCTCAACGAGCAATCACCTATCGTCAAAGTATTGACCTTTGGTAATATTTGTATTGCCTTTGGCTGTGAAAAAAAAAAGATCTGGATAATATTCGATTTCGTTAGTCGTATTCTACACGTCTGCGTTGCCACGGAAACTGAATATATACATCTGTATCTGACCTTTAATATTGATATTTTATTCTCTTCGTGTACAAGATAATACAAGATTTCAATTTATGCGAATATAGGGATGACGCAATGTATAATATACAATATCGCTATTATTTACGTACATTTATATGAAGGGTTGTTGCCCCTAAATTTTTAAAGTTAATTCTGATTTTGTTTTCTTTTGTTTGCTTAGTTGCAACATATTCTCGTGATACGTCGTATCTGAACTCTGTTTCATACATCTCACATAAAAAAAAATTCAGTTTACAGATTCGTATTTTGGTGTACTTGCAAAAATAAAATCTGAAAGTAACAATAAACATGTATGAAAAGAGAATTGAATATATCTTTGTTTGATAATACAACATTCTTTTAATAGGAAGACACGGAGACATAGCCATTTTGTTAATCAGAGCTTCGTCAGATTCTCAATCCGAGGAAAATTGGAGAGCAATGAGAAGAAACGAAAAGAAAGTCAACGATAATTTATTTAATATCAATGTTACACATGGGGGGCAAATCAATGATGGTTTTAGGGCAGGTGGAAACAAAAAATCTTGACGGGTTTGAAGCGAACTACTTTTAAACACAGTTTTACAATTTCTGAAGATTTTTCTAGTATATAAATAGCATGCTTAGCTTATGTCTATGAATCGTGTAAACACGCAGATATTAGACGTGAGTTCATACGGGTCATAGTAACCTATATCTACTGGAATTTGGAAACACCTTTCTACAGTGTATGAGTCAATGGTCAATCCAAAGAGGGTGATTCACGATGTATTTTCTGCTTCATCTCATACTTTTCGCTCATACCCACTTTTAGTCATGTCGAACTTTTGAAATATATTAATCGAAGGACAACAAGGAGGTAAATTAATAAAGAGAAGAGTTGAAGAGGGGAAAAGAGAAAGAACAGGGAGAGAGTTGTGGCAATGTCAAAAAAGATGATACGACACACACAAAAAAACTTCTCTTTACTTGATAGCCTTGCTCTCTCGCATTTCATCTACCTAGTAGCCAAGGCCGTAACGCCCCCTCCCTCTCCCCTCCATCTCCCATCCCTCTCCCCTGGTGCCTCCTCAGTACATTGTAGGAGGACCTTCTCTACGCCACTGTTTGTTGACATAATATTGAGTAATAATTGTTGAGATCCTACCTTTAAGAGATCTGACTTGAGTGGAATAAAGTGGTGATTTTTGCCGCTCAAACGCTCGCTCTCGTACGCCATGTTGTTGAGGTTAGGGAAGTTTCTGTTGAGGTCCTCTCCATTCGCGTTTGACCGTCCATAGTACGGCAAGGAAAGTCCCTGTGAGAGAACAAAATATTTAAAGAAAAAGTTGAGTTCAGGGGAAAGGTGAAAATAATTAGTTAGGAAAGCCATTCTCTTTAGGTTAGTTTGGAAGAATATCATAACAGAAAATGTCCCTTGAAAATAATGGATCTACAAATGCCCTGATTTTCGAAATTGACGTGCTACAGCTGAAAAGTTTGGACCCAACTCTCATGCAACATGTGTGTGCAGTCCCACTCTGATTTTCTGTTTTCGGTGCATATGACTTTCAGCAAGATCATCTAGATAACTTCAGATCATCTCACTTTGGTAATTCCCAAAGCTCACAGTATACATCCATAATAAGTGTGGCCTACTTTCATAATCTACTTGTCCCCACGCAGTGCCCCCCGACAGATTATTTTACAATGAATTTGCATGATCAGAAATCAAGATTATCTTTAGATATTAAGGGTTTTGATAATAGCCGTGACAAACAACGCTAGCACCAAATATTGATAAATAAATTCGTTTAAAAAAGCGCTTGGGACTATTCTCAAGTCTAACGGAATACACACAATCGCTTAAGACTTTGAGCCAATCAGAATCATGAGTTTGTAGTCACAGTTTTGTTTGTTTTGTTTATTCCTGCGTTTGCGTTTAATTGCAACTTTTTAGTGAAAGAAGACGGATAAAGCTGGTAAACAGTGATAATTACTGTACCTGAGATGAATTGAAGAGCTCGTAGGCTTCCTGAAAGCCGTCTGGATTCATCGAAAATAAGATATGTAACCTAGTCTCATTGACCAGTCGTTGTATTCGGAAGTCCTTTTTGTAGTATTGTATACAGAGGAATTCGGCAAAGTGGATGAGTAGTTCTCGACCGATTGGCTCGTTACCGTGCATGTTTGCAATGTACTTCATCTCTGGTTCTCCTACAGAAACGAAAAGAAGAAAATACAATATCGTAATTAATTTTGTTTAATCATCATGATCGTGATAATAGAGCAAGCGATGGCGTTTGTATACAGTACTGTTATGTCGAATATTGTTTCGAAGTAACAAAAAAAACCATGGTTTGCATGTTGTCATTAGCCACTTTAAAGGCCAATTGTGCTGTATTTTAGTAACTATGGTTACATATGAAATTAAGGAACCGACTTTTGTCCACTAGTTGTCATCTGGTAGATGGCATTAATTGAATTCCTCCTTATTCTGCTATATTAAACGCTCAACATCCAGTTTCCCTAACAATTAACATGAGATAAGCTTCAATTGCACACAAACGAAGGTGTTATAAGGATAGGATGGCCCTTTAATAACCTAGTCTGGTGGATGACTAAGTTTTGCCTACCTTAATTAGTTCTTGAAAACCAGGTAATATACACCTGTTACTTATGAAGCACTTGTTAACAGTCCAATTATAACCTACATCCCCTGTCGCTTTCCATTAACTACTTCTTTTCTTCTTTTTGTCCTTCTCTCTCTCTCTCTCTCTCTCTCTCTCTCTCTCTCTCTTTCTATCGTGTTTTATGTAACGATAACTTGTCATATCAAGTAATACAGGTGTTTCTTTCCGATTTTACTCTCTGTAATGTACAGGAGTGGAAGTCGACATTTAAGGAATTCTTATTAGCGATCATTCGGAGTGGAAATCCACTCTAAAAAAAGAGTTGATTCCACTCTTAAAAGAGTTATTCAACCATTACTTATGACTGGAATACTATAATTAGAGTGGAATAACCTCCCAAGGACGTGATCAACATCAGAACTCTTTAAAAAGGTGGAATATTATTTCTCTGTATTAAGACTTTTCGATATTGCTAATGCACATGAAGCTTTAAATACGTATATGTCATGAAAATGCTAGGTAGCATGGCGTTTGGAACGGCTTCATTTACAAATCTTTTATAAAAAATCTACTAAAGAAATCAATATTATTCCTTTAAAGGGATCCGGTAACTTTGTCTCAGATTCCGAAACAAAATCCTGGATTTAGCTCATGCTGCAATGATAATTATAAACCTTTAGGTCAGTTAGGAACTCCATGACTTTTACAAGCCGATCGCCTGTCTGATTATCAAGATATTCATGATTGGAAATCGAAACCAAATTTTGCGTTTGCCAAACGGTTTTCATAACACTACAGTCTATTGGGGAAAACGAGTATGGTAAAATCGGTCACTCAAAGATTTTTTACTTTTTTGAGGCACTTCTTGACCATTTTGAAGCGCTATTTTTGTAGGGCTTCAATATTACATCATAACACAGACACTGACAACACGTAGGGCCATGCATCTCAGATTTAACATTGTTAAACGACGCCTTTAATCTATCCTTGTTCGATGATCTTTTTTGAACAGTGGTTTAACATGAGAATTAAATATTTATGTCTTCTATTTTACATTCGTCATGTTCACGTCGACTGAATTACTATTAGGCCTATATTCCTTTCCCATCAGCGAATTAAAGTTCAGTAGACGATCTTCTTTCGTTTGTTACATTTCTGTCAATAGCATTTCCAATGAATTGTTCTACAACTCGCAACCTGTTAATCCTCTAGCCATGGATATCCGTGCTCTAATGTTAACACAACCACAACATAATGGGGGTGTTAATAATGAATGTCATAACTCGGAAAAGTCTAAAGGTTGAGACAAGGATCTTACTTCCATGTTTCCAAACGAAGGGGTTACCAAAGGGTTACCCACTTCCCCCGTGACCTTCAGATATTCATAAAGATACCTACAGCAGGTGGGACATTGATGACAATGCAGAATTAGCGGCTTCTCACCGAACACATCGGGACAACATCCTTGCAATATGATACATTTCCAACAACTTCCTGCTGGGTTCAGGAACAAGACCTTTGCAAGCAACCAGACTCTCTCAAGCATTAAACCGAAGGAAGTTGCGGGATGTTTAAAAACGAGGGCATGGAATTCAACCGAATCACACACCCACCCCCCCCCCCCCCCCCCCCCTCTAATGTCTCCCTCGATGCCCCCATTTGCGTCAAGCATGGACTAACAGTAACGTATGTGAACTTCAAAACAGATGAGGCGAGCTCCGATGGGGAATAATATGACGCGGCAAGGTGTGAGCCACATGGAGCTCATGAGTCTGTCTGTGTTTAATGCCTCACCTGTGACTGATCTGAGTTTCATTTTCCAGTAGCGTATTCAACATGAGGGGGGGGGGGAGCCGCCCCCTACCCCTCTCGTTTGACAGTCCAGAAAAAGAGAGAGAATAAAACGCAATACTAAAATTATACCCCCAAAACAGGGATACGCCCCCTCTGTTAATCAAAAGGTCTGGATACGTCACTGCAAAATCGACACTACGTCATGAATAATGCAGATAATGATTCTCCACCCAGCTGGGAGCTTTGTCACTTGCTAAATCGTGCATGTTTTTTAATGTTATCGAAAATAATCATTACATGAAATTTGAGTCCGGTGGTACAACGTATGAAGATACCTATTCTACCAAAGGAACGTGCCATAATTGGGCCGCTGTGATGAAATATTCGTTTAAAGAAAAACAGAGTACCTCGGTGTTTTTATGGGTAAGTGGCTGCCCTAGTTGGTCTGCGTTATTTCATCTTACAGAGCAGTACACTGGGATTAAAAATATAATAGCCAGTGGTTAGTAGTCACAGCAGTGGCCGTTATATTGGAGAAAGATGGTTGTATATAATTCGTGATTCATTCAGGTTGAGAGGAGTTAGGGCGACCAATTATGGCTGGATTCGATCAAGGAAGGGTATAATGATGATGATTCATGACAGGTATATATCATTTCATCCTGTCAGCTCGGAATTGGCCTGCAAACATCACCTGCAATAAGAGACAAAAACTATAGCCTTTGCTGTGTTTTCCTCCTTGTTTTTTTCTAAATGTTAGACTCATGTAGCAGAGGAAGAGGGGGTGTAATAATGATGTAATCGGAGCTATTAATATATAGAGTTTGGCAAACCCGGTTCTAGTATTATGGCGAATACAGCTTTGTTGGGCTAGCACAGAACAAAAGAATATACGCCATATGATGGTGTGTCCAAGTGAAACCAAGTTGGCCAAACTCTGTATATAAATGGCTCTGGATGAGATGATTTTTTTCTTTTTCTTCTAAAAGCCTTTGATATGATGATGTTGATGTTCATTTCATCCGACAAGGAGTTACAACGTATCGTCGAATCTGAAGGAAAAGGTAATGAGAAATTACTGGTGCCCATGCAAGTAAGGGCAGTATTATACCGTATTGTTGTGCTTTCGAACCCTGGAATTCTCGGTTCTCTGAGACCACTGCTATAAATAATGGGGTGGCACGTTTCTTGTCTAAAATTTAGAAACTGTCTCCTTTCTACTCTATTTTTAAATTACATCGATCGTTTGTAGGTTCAAAGGTTATATAATAATACTGATTATTCTATTTACAGGACAGGTACCCACAGAACACCCCCCCCCCCGATAAAGTCTCCTCGGACAACTCTGAATTCACTGCTTGACCAATACTACATCCCGAAAATCACCCTTGGTCAACTAAACCCTAGAACAATAATCCTCTGGGCAACTACTGCTATACCTTGATAGGTTGTCTAAGGGTAGCCTGATATGATGTTTTGTCCGGAATAGGTGTCCGGGTGTAATATCATAGTGGTAGTTGTCCGGGGTACAACCCTTTCCATTCATGAACTTCATCTCATTAGGATTTTGATCTTTTGCGGTAAATGGGTGAACCGAGAGTTAATCATCCACTATACCACCTAGCAATGTCTCTAATAAACCAGTCAAGCCCGGTATAAAGACGCCTTGAGCATTTGACTGTCAAGTGGATTTGGCGCCTTATAAATCATATGTATTATTATTATTATTATTATTATTAGGAGACTGATCTACGAGGATCGTACGTGCTCGGATAAGACATAGTGGTTAACCTGATTATCACTGTGCGTGACTACTTGAAACCTGGTTAACCAGTTCTTCTGAGACAAGATGGATGACGTCATAGATGACGTTTACACCTCTTGACAGCTTCTATAAGTCATTTGTCAAGATCGGTTTCTTCAAGGAGTGGATTCGTTGTCTGCAGAGCAGAAAAGGTGGGGTCAAATCAAGTTCATCAAAATCAGAGACATCGTGAACGAAATCAGAAAGATGGTTACGCAGGAACTATTCTGTATCTCCCCTCTCTTTAACAGGTTTATGTTTTTTATTAGCTTAATATCTGAAAAGTATCGAACGATGATATATTTGATTCAAAGATATATTGCCTTTCATTGAAAATAAATAATTGTATTCTCATCAAGATCAGATGCAATTATGACAGATAAACTCGGATATTGTATCATTTATTAAAAATAAATCAAGGATAAAATGTTCTCATGAATTTTGTTAGTATCTTCATAGTTGTATTTTTATAGATGCATTGCCTTATATAGAAATATAGAATAGATAATTTTATTCTCATCAAGATCAGATGCAATTATGACGGATAAACTAGGATATATTGTATTTGTTTTAATCATTCATGGATTACCTTAGCTTCGAATTATTATGTTAGTTGTATTTTCATAAACTTTCAAGCTTAGGTATAAAGGTCTGAAATTTTGCCACGTCCATAAATGTATATTATTTGATAAATGGTCACTCAATAAAAAAGGTAAAAATCATCTGCCTTTGAAAGAACTATATATTATTAGTGACAATATATTCAAATTCATAGCGCGTAACAGTGTAAGTTTGTCTGGATAGCCCCATTAGATAACATACATGTATAGTTGCATAATGCATTTTGTAATCAAATTGTAAATCTGAGTAAATAATCGTCTGGCGATGCTGTCTGTCCGGCCAAAATTGAGATAATATGTGATAATTACCATCTCATTATATCGGTCTCCCATTGGTCACCCACATGGTGTAAGCCGCACTCACAT